ACCTTTCCCTCCCAGGGACAGGCCAGGGCCCCGTGGGCCTGGGGTCCTAGCCGACCTCCTGCTGGGGTCCTTGCCGATGGGGATGCAGCAGGTTGGGGCCACCCTCCCTGAAAGCGGAATGTCCCCACCATTGGGGTGTCTGAGACAGGCGGAAGGGAAAGAGAGCCCAGCCTCCGGGAAGAGGCCTTGACACACAGACAGACAGACAGACAGCTCTAACTTCGAGAGGGGGTACAGGAAGACGCCCTCACGTGCTCTCAGATCAGAAGGACCCACTGTTGTCACTTGACTGGGAGGAGATGGGGAGAAAGGGCCGGAGCCGTGAGGAGGCTGTGACACAGAGAAGGCAGGGAGCAAGGAGCCGGCAGGGGACAGACAAACCCGTGAAGAAGGGGGCCTCCCGGAGACCCCGACACCGGGAGGGAAACCACAGGACAGACGCCCGAGAACAGACAGCCCCTGGGAAGAATGACTTCAGGAGACGGCGCAGGGCGACGGAAACAGATGAAAAGTCAGGACGCGTGGCTACGGAGGAGCAGAACTGGTAAGGAACAGGGAGGACCCGCAGCCACAGCCGCCACAGGAGGAGCGGAAGATCCCGCCAGCGCCCGGGACAGCGCCCGCGAGGGGCAACGAGGAGGGACAGGAGGAGGACGTCCAGGCGGAGGCCAACCACCAGCCTGCAGGGAGAAGGCCCCAAGTGTGACCCAGGCGCAGGGAGACGCCCTCCAAGGCAGGACCCAGGCAGCAAGGAGTGCGGCCGGCCCCTGTGACCAGCCGCGAAGCCGGTCTCCAGAAACACAGGCCGAGACGGCGTCCCCCAGGATGGAAAAGAGGACCAGCTCCTCTGAAGCAACGGTCACGGCAGGACTCCAGGGACTTGCCCGCTTGGAAGCTGGCTGGCCACCCAGATCACATGTCCAAGCTCACGCCATCACAGAGGAGCACGGAGCAGACAAGTCCAGCCGCCGGGGCAGGTGTCCAGGAGGTCCAGCAGACAGAGCTCGGCCTCTGCTTCCTGGGCTACCCAGCATCCTCCCTGGGGACGGTGCCGGGACGTTCGCCTTCCCACGCTCTGCTGGGGGACAGTGCCGAGGCCCATGCAGATGCCTGGGCCTGGGAGGCCGTGGCGCACCATAGGGAGAGGGCGTGTCTGGCTCAGGTGTGAGTCACGGCGCTGTGGCCATGGTCCGCGTTCAGAGCCAACAGTACAGCGTCCTCACAGACACGAGGAGCTGTCCAGCAAGGAGCCCCGCGGAGAACGAGAACCTGCTGGACACGCGCTGAGCGGGCACTGCCCCCAGGACCCCTCCTCTAAAGCAGACAGAGCACTCAGCAGTGAGCTCCACCTGCTGAGGTGAGAACCCAAACAGGCACTGGGAGGAGGAAAGGCCCGTCCCCTGGCCAGAACCCGGCCACGCAGGGAAAGTGTGGCGGACAGTGACCGTGTGCAAACTGTCCTGCGCCCACAGGAGATGGCAGGCCTGAGGGGGTGAGGAGGAGGGGAGGGTTGTGCACGTGCAGGGGTGTGTGTGTGTGTGTGCGCATGGTTTGTGCGTGCATGTGTGTGCATGCATATGTGTGTTTGCATATGTGTGTGCATGTGTATGTGTGTGCATGTGTGTACATGTGTGTGCATGTGTATATGTGTGCGTGTGTGCGTGTGCATGTGCGTGCACATGTGTGTATGTGTGTGCGTGCACATGTGTGCATGTGTGTGTACGTGTGTGTGCATGTGTGTATGTGTGCGTTTGTGTGCGTGTGTGTGCATGTGTATATGTGTGCGTGTGTGCGTGTGCATGTGCGTGCACATGTGTGTATGTGTGTGTGTGCACATGTGTGCATGTGTGTGTACGTGTGTGTGCATGTGTGTATGTGTGCGTTTGTGTGCGTGTGTGTGCATGTGTGTATGTGCGTGTGCATGTGTGTGTGTGCGCATGTGTGCACATGTATGTGCATGCGCGCGCGTGCATGTGTGTGCGTGCACGTGTGTATGCGTGTGTGTGCATGTGTGTGTATGTGTGCGTGTGTATGTGTGCATGTGCATGTGTGTGCGTGTGTGTGCACACAGGCACCACTATCTTCTCCCCTTCAAGCCTTCCTGCTCTTCCTCCCTGGGCGGCCTCCTTGGCACCAGGTGTGGTCTCCCGGGGGGACCAGGGGAGGTGGGGAAGTGTCGTCCTCCACAGTCCCTTCTCCCCTCCCTCACCGTCCCCACAGCTACAGAAAGGGCCTGTGGGGGTTCCGGAGCTCCAGGGAGGGGCCCAGCTGCCCAGGAGAGGGAGCCTGGGTCCCTGAATGTCTGCGTGGATCAGAAGGCCCCACCTCTTGCCCGGCCAACCCTAGAGGCCAGAGAGAGAAGGGAACACGGACGTCGGTGCTGAGGCTGGAGTCTGCTCCGTGGGGAAGGAGCGGAGGGGGAAGGGGGATTGGACAGCGGAGGAGCGATGCATCCCGCTCGGTTCCTTAAGGTGTCCCTGGACACGAAGTCTGAGACTTCCCGTCTCCTTCTCTCCTAAGTTAAATAAAAACACCAGTGAAGTGGGCCGTTGGCAGCGTGGGGTGGGCGTGATGCTGAGGGTGACGGACGCCGTGGGGCGGGCCTCGGCACCTCTCTGCCTGCAGTCATCCCCTGGTCCTGGGGATGCACCCCAAGACCCGGGGTCCGCAGAGAGTGCCACCTGCACATGCGATGCGTCCCTGTCACCTGTGACAAGGGTGAATTTATAAACTGGCGACAGTAGGAGAGAAGCAGCGACGGCTGGTCATAGAAAAGCCAGGCCATGCACGGTGGTCAAAGCTGCTGAGAACTTGCAGGTTGTCACCTTGGAGTCTTCCCTACAGTGTTTTCAGGTCATGGCGATTTACACGGCAGGAAGTGAGGCCGCTGCTCGGGAATCACCTGCAGTAGTGCTCCTCAGAGGTGCCAAGGGACATAAGAAAGGGAGCAGCCACACACCCAGAAGCCACCGTGTGCTTCCAGCATGGCCCAGGGCCTGCGGCACTGCAGGGGTTAGTTTGGGGGCCCTGGGTCACCCCAGCTTCCCTAGGAGAGGTGACCTGGCTGACCTTGTCCTTAGGACAGCGAGGACTCTGCGGCAGCCCCGGCCCCGTGAGCGCCCACGGGAGGCAGCAGGCCCCTCCGGGCAGGGCTGGTGCCTCTGGGAGGAGTCCATCTCCTCTAGCCCTCTCTGGACCCAGGGAACCAGAACCCTGCGCACCTAGGACGCCAGACCCTGAGGGCACGAAGGTGCAGGAGAAGCCCCTTAACATCTCCTCTGATCCCAGAGCATGGACCTCCAGCCACTGTGCCCCCATAAAGGGGAACCCTTCTGTGCTTCAGGGTCCCCCAACAGAACCACTTCAGGGGCTTCCCCAGATTCTGCCATTCACCCCCCAAGAACCATCTTCCTCCTGTCCCAGTGCTGGGACCGCTGGGGTGGCACCGCTCAGCTCGACGCACCCCCACGGGTGCTGGGAGCAGAGATGCCTCCTGCCACGGAACACGGTTCGATTGAGACGAAGCGAACAGCACCCAGGAAGCAGCAGAGGCACAACAGACGGCCTCACGTCTAATGAGGACCCGGAATGTGCCCAGGCCCACACCTCAACCCTTCAAACACAGTGGAAGTCAAGTCTGGTCTTCTCCTACGGGCTGCAGAGGCTGGCCCTGACCTCGCATCTGAGCACCGAGCTCAGCTCCCGTAGCCCAACTCCATGTCGCCCCTGACCTCGGGTCTCGCCCCTGACCTCGGGTCTCACCTCCGGACCGCCCTGCTCCCACTCGCCAGGCTCCAGCAGCTGCCCTCTCCACTGAGTCCCTGCAGCCCACAGAGACCACTCCCCACCTCCCAGGTGGCTCCCCACCACCTCCACCACCTGGCAACCCTCCGGCCAGTGCGTGTGGGCATGCCCTCCCCGTGTCCAGAACAGCCGGTGGCTCGTCACAGACACTCCTGCAGCCGCTGAGTGTCAGCAGGCCCAGGGCACCTCACATCCACACCCCTGAGCAGGACGCAAGCCCACACCAGGCCTGAACGCCGGCACCCACAAGCCAGACGGGCAACGCCTCCCGGGAATCAGCCCTCTGCTGGGGACGGGGTGGGCCTGGGGGCGCTGTCTCCGCTCTGGGGCACCCGCAGCCTCACGGGAGAGCCCTACCAGACACGCAGAGGAGGGAGGGACGAGGGTCAGGACAGGGTGCCTGGTGACAGGATATCTTCGGAAACCAAATCACCGTCCTGTCCACCCTGTCCATCACGCCAACCACCCAGCCCCTGCCCCAGCACCAGTCGGCCTCCAGCAGAGGCAAAGCCGCCTGCCTGTGAGGGCCACAGAAACCCAGAAGCAGCCGATGACCAAGGTGGACAGCACAGACAAGCAGCCACCTGAGGGCACAGGGAAACAGCACAGGGAAGGACGTGGGGCCCAGGGCTGGTGGACAGTGGCCTGGCCAAGGCCAGGAAAGGCAGGGCTCATGGGATCTCCATGCTCCCGGAAGTGGGTGGGCTCAGACATGGGGACACGCATGCTGAGCCGGAGCAGAGAGGGAGAGGCAGGCTGGACAGAGGTCAGCCCTGAGTGTCCACAGAGGTGCTGGCTCACACTGATCCTTGGGCCGTCCATCCCGCGGGCCGAGCACACTGTAGTGCATGCTGTGGCTTGGGTCTGGTGTGCCTGTCCCTCGGGGTGGCTGGGTGGAAATCGGATCCTCACTGTGAGGTATTAACAGGGTGGAAACAATCTGTCTGTGGTGTCCAGAGCTGGGGCCTTCGGGGCCAGATGATCAGCAGTAGATAAGGTCACCAGGGTGGGGCTGGCGGACTCCTGGTGGCCTCATGAGAGCAGGGACAGACCAGACAGACAAGATGTGCTCCCTGCTTCCTCCACGTGGTGTCCCATGTTGCCTGGGGACTCTGCCCACCAAGAGGCTGTCACCAGAGGAGGCCTGTGACCTTGAACTCTCAGATCATAAGACAAAATAAGCCTCTTTTCTTTACAAAGTGGCTTTCCTCGGGGCCTTCATCATAGTAGCGCATAGGGCTGACAGGCTGTGCTGTGAGCAGAGGCAGGAGCAGGGCACAGTGTGGCTGGGGGGAGGGGCTGGGTGGGCAGGAGGAGCACCTGGCCTGTGTCATCAGCCCTGGGGGTCCAGGTTGGACCAGAGGCATCGGTGCCCTCCAAGCCAGGTGGACGCTGCCCAGCTGTGGACGGAGGGTGGGCCCGCGAGGGCGCCGCCATGCGCAGGGGCTCACCGTCTGCTGCAGGTCCTGGATGACCACGCGGATCACCAGCGTGTTGCCCTGGGTCTCCTCCATCCTCGCCCCGCTCGGCTTCTCCCCCGCGGCCCGGATGGTGTCGTAGACGGTCTCGTCTTTGGAGCTGTCGGACTCAGAGCCCACGGAGTAGTCGGAGAAGCTCTGGGCCATCTCGTCCTCACTGGACGTCGGGAGGCGCGGCATGGCTGCCAGGTCTCTGCCAGGAGAAGGAAACGTGGAAATTAAAGAAAGCCCGGGGCTCCAGGGACGGCCCTGAGGAGCGCAGGCGCAGCTCGGGCGTTGCGGGTGACACCACCCACGGTCTGCTATGCACGTCCACGTCCACACACGGGTCCCTCGGGCGGCAAGAATGCGGCACCCCCCCACACGCGCCGGGCAGAGGCAGCAGCAGCTGGGACAGGGACCTGAGCTCCAGCCTGAGGCTGCAGAACCCAGCCCCAGTGAGCTGGCGAGAAGAGCGGGCTGACGAGGCGTCACCGGGAGCCACCGGCACTTGGACACTTCCCACGTGAGGGAAACGGCTGCCGTGGGTTTTCTTTGAGGACAGAGCCGCCGGAGAGGAGGAGGAGCGGGCACAGGGTCAGATGGCAGGATTCCTCCCTGTAACAACCCCTGCTTCTAACAGCTCCGAGGGAACTGGGTAAAAATAGCCCAGAAAGACGGGCCGGTCTCAGCCGGGAACCAGCCTCCGGCACCAGGACAGGAGCAAACCCCGCGGCCCAGAGCAGGCTGCAGCCGGAGGCTGGGGTCTCCAGGAGGCTGGGACAGCTGGGGGGCTCCTCCCCCTCTGTCAAGGGCAGTAACCACACCCAGCAAAGATCCAGCCAGGCTGCCCACGGCTGCCTTGGACCCCGGGTCTCAGCAGCATGGAGGACAGGTGCTGGGATCGGGCACCATGACCGTGACGCCCTCCGTCCCTGGGGTTCAGAAAGAACTGAGTGACGCTGGCTTAAACCGGGGCCTGGTGGAGGGCGTGCCAAGCCGACCCAGCAACTGCACCTCTGCCCAGACTCCAGGAAGAAGGCCAAAGCCACTTGCCCGAGGCAGGATGCACAAAACCCAGCTGTCCCAGGAAAATGGGGACATGTCACCCTAACCATTCAGGGTCTCTTCAGCCCATGGTTCCGCCAGGCCTATGAATGAACCCCAGCTACGTCTGGGTGACCCCAACACGTGACTCTGAGCCAAAGGGAGGCATCCACAGAATGATCCAGAAAACCAGGGCCTGCTCTAGAGGAAGCCTGGGAGACAGCCCCGTCCTAGACACAGTGCGCAGGGGCCAGGGCTGAACCCGGAGAGGCCTCCCTTGGGGGACGGAGGGGCAGGCTGGCCGGCCTCCAGCCCCATTCCTCCCTCAAGCTTAGACGACAAGATGCCAGACGCTGACAGAGCCGGGAAGCGGAGGTCCCCTGTGTGGTATTTATGGCTTTCTCTCTCTGGGCTGGGGGCGGGAGGGCACAGCACCCCAAACACACTTCCCCAGAAGAACAGGCGGAGTCCAAAGCAACTGAGAAGCACACGTGCCCCAAAGCAGGACACGAACTGACAAGGTCCCCTCCTCTCTGTTGGGGATGCAGGTTCGCCTCCAGAGACGCCCCTGACCTCAGCCGGAGACCCACACAGCCCCCAGCACCAGTCCTGACCACTCTCCTCCCCAGGCGCCTGCCACCGCACAGTCCGCCACCTGGGAGCTCAGCCCTCCCTCTCCCCGTCCTGTTGCATCTCTAAAAATGCCGTGTTCTCTTCTTGAGATGCCACCTAAGCTGAGTCACACTGAGGGACCCAGGCTTCTCCCATGGAGTGTGCCACAGTGTGACAATCGGGTCTTCCTGGATCTCTCAGCCCCATTCACAGGGCCCCAGGCAGAGAACCTACAGGTGGAGGGAAGGCTTTTCCAACTCTGCAGAAGGACGGGGAAAGGGAGGGAGGGAGGGAGGGTGGGTGCAGGGTCGTCCAGGTGGGTGGCGTGTGGATGGATGATAGATACACTTATGGATGGAAAATTGGGAGGGTAGATGGGAGGATGAAATGAATGGATGGATGGATGGATGAGTGGATCAATGGATGGATGAATGGATGAGTGAATGGGTAGATGCATGAATGGATGGATGAGTGGATGGATGGATGAATGAAAGGATGAATGGATGGATGGGCTGATGGATGAATGGATGGATTAATGGGTGGATAAATAGGTGGATGGATGGATGGAGGAAGGAGGTTAGGAGGGCGGATGGATAGATGAATGGATGAACAGATGGATGAATGGATGAACTAGTGAATAGATAGATGAATGAACTGGTGAGTGTGTGAGCATATGGATGGACAGAGGGATGGGTGAGTGGCTGAATGGACTGGTGGATGGGTGGGTAGATGGATGAGTGAGTGGGTGGATGTGGAGAGGAGGGAGAAGAACAGCTCACCAGATGCTGTAATTTGAGATGCCTGCTGTGAGCTGGTCACCCTGGTGGGATGAGGGGCTAACAATGGCTGGGAGATGGTCTGAAGTCAACAATTCACTGTTCTATTTAGACTCTTTCTGTAAATTAAAACCTATCTCCTGTGCGCCAGCAATGCACTGGATTTGCAGGGGGTTGGGGTGGCTATGATCCATGTCTATCCGCGGCATGGGCACGGCGGTTCATGGAGCCCGTGACCTGCTGGGTCTCCTCCCTCCTCACAACCCTTGGCCGGCACAGGACAGCCCCTGAAATCGGGTGCGTGGTGTCAGTGGGCACAGGTAGGCTTCCCCGCTCCAGCCCTGCAGCCCATCCCACACTGGTGCTCTGCATTCTCGGGGGCCCTTGGGAATGCCGCCCGTCTCTGTGGGCAGCACCAGGCAGCGCACCAGGACTGCGCAGCCCAGACAAAGGGGCCTGTGCACGTGGCTCACGCTCTGGTCCCCACAGCAGGAGTGGGCTTTAGAAAACACTGAGCGCGGAGTTTCCCCGTGAGATTTACCCGGTGGGATTCAGGCTTCTGAGAACCACGGCTGCGGCCACCCCAGGTCCTCCGTGCCCACTGGCAACCTCCCGCCAGCACTGAGCTGCAGCCACCCCCGGGCAGGAGCCGCACTGTACCCAAGGGGCCACGGCCCTCCCTATGCCATGCTCCGCAGCTCACTCTGGACCCGCTCACCTGCCCTGCGGCGGCGCTGTGACTGGGGGCCCTGGGAGTGTGCAGGGAAGCCCTGGGAGAGCGGACCAGCCTGAGCCCAGTGACGCTCGCTCACACTTCACCATCGACAGCAACCTGCCCCCAGGTGGTCCCAGCTCAGCCTGTCACTCCTGCTGAACCAGCTGCAGAGCCACACCCCGCAAGAGGCCCGGGTGCTCCTCCACCCTCCACCCCAGGCTCCCCACTCACAGGAGTCACAAGATGGTGACCAGGGGCGTACTGAGGCTGGGGCTGGGGTCAAGGGGGACGGAGGCCAGGGGTCAGCTGTGGGTGTGACACGTGACATTTCAATGCTGAAATTCATTGTTTTTTGATTCAGTTTGCAGTCCACACACATGTCCAGAGCTGGGCCCAGGGGCCCCTGGCTGGTGAGCCGTGGTGGACACGTGGTCAATACTGTGAGGTGTGCATAACCCCCAGGGTCTTCTCCCCCAGCGAGGGGTGCAGCCTGGCTTGGCCTGCTACACCCGGCCTGACTCCAGGACACATCTAGAGCCCAGGTAGGGACAGCAGCAAGGAGACCTCCAGGTGCGGCCCTGCAGCTGCCCCGGTGCATGCCCACAGCCCGCCCCTCGCACCGGCCCTGGGAGGTGGTCACACACTGGCAGGCCAGACACCTGACTACCAGGAGGGTCTTGGCCCTAACAGAAGGCTTGAGTTACCTGGCCAGCAGCTCTGTGGGAACAGCAGGCACCTGGCGCAGGAGCCCAGACAGAATTTAATGATTAACTCCTGGGTAGGGCTGCCGGGTAGGACAGAGGGCGGCCAATTACACGGGCATTTCATATGAGCAGCAGATGAGTTTGGCACTGAATATGCCCAAATACGCGCTAAACATGATTATGCAGGACGGCGGCTCGGGTCACACTCAGGCTGAACATCCACTCATGGTTCATCTGACGTCCACACAGAGGTGGAGGCCTGCGTGTCACCCGCACCACTGTGGAGGATACCCGGGTTCCCTGACCCCCTCAGGACCAGGCTGCAAGGGGGTTCCCTGGGAAATCAGCTCCAGGGCAGAGGGGGGAGGCCCCCGCAGCACGGGGCACCCCTCGGTGTAACTATTCTCTCGGGGGACGCACCCAGCTATGAAGTCCCGGGGGTGAGGTTCAAGGGCTCAGACTCTTACATCAGCCCTGCTGCAGTGACTGTTAACAAGGAGAAAAGAAAATAACCACCAAGAAGCAGTTTCCACAAAGACTCGGTGCTTTGCTGCTAACCTGCTGAAGAGAACTCGGAACTTCCACCGGCTCATTAGGCCCCTAAAGCGCCCCGTGGACCGCGGCTGGGTTTCCCAGCGCTCCCTCTTCAGCCATCATGGAAATATAAAAGCCGCCTCGGGACAGAAGACACATAATACAGACACGAACAGAACTCATGGCAAGGCCACTGGGCCTTTGTGGATCACCTGCAGAAGACAGGGGGTGACCCGTGTGACTTCTACCGAGAGCACTCAAAGGTTTGATACAAGGGAACCTCAAAGAGACGCAGGAGGCGAGACTGTGTGACCACCTCCTATTTCTGGCGTTCAGATGCATTCCATTTGCAGCGAGACCCTTCCCAGTGCTGCCCCGGGGCTTTATTTAGGTAGACATCTAAAGTGAGGCCACGGTCGGAGCTGGTGGCAGGACACAGGGTGGCCAGCCACCAGGCAAACATGCAGAACCTGCGTGGACCCTGGAGGAGCGGCGGTTCTGCCGCCGTGGTTGGAAGCGGCTGTTCCTGCAGATCTGGAGAAGACAGCGCTGACCGAGAGCTCCAGGTTCAGAGGGCAGGGACTCCAGGGACAGGCCACTCCGGAGCCCACCAGGTGGAGGGGCAGAGGCCAAGATGGGCTCAACATCCTCTCTAAGAGGCAGCCTCATCTAAAAGTGGCTCCCACCCACCTATTGTGCCCACTACCCAGCAAGTCGCCCTGAGAGATGCAGCCCATCCCCTCCGCCCCACCACCAGAGCTGTGTCCTCACCCCCAGGGTGACATGAGCCCCTGTTGTAGGTCAAGCCATGCCTCCTGCAATTGCA